CTAAGACGGATTTTGTAGATACTCAAAAGAAACAGACATCAAGGTGGGGAAAAAAACCTCGTCAAGTATGAGCTATAAGAATGAATAGTTGAGTGCTGCAGTTTTGTGTTTTGGTCACAAGTGGCAGCTCATCATTAGAAATCTCTGTAATGCTTCTTTAGATTAAAAACCTTGGAATAGAAATGACTCTAAGCTGTTTTTTCCAGACTCAGGAGAAAAAGGCTAATGGGAGAAGCAAGAAGAGGAAAGGTGAAATTTTTGAAGGCAGCGGCCAAGGTAATTCCTACCTGCTCCATAACTGAACGTTTTGTTGTATTTTATTATGAATTTTTAAAATAAATATTTAACTGAAATGAATCACATTTACCACTTTACTTATCTTATCTCTAAAAACCCTTAGATTTAATCGTAACTATCAGGATAATGTTGTTTTTATTCCTTTTTCTTATTTTTCCATTTTCTTTTTTATTGTAGGAAAAGGAAAAGGGCAGAAACTAAGTGATTACTTTGAGGTAAGTAGAAGCCACGTCTTTGTTCTGTGAAATTTTCCTTTATTTCTCTTTTGACATCTTTATTTCAACTCACTTTCAAACTTTACCATCTCAACTTGTTGCTTAACCTGTTTAGGGACATTCTTTTCTGAATCATTTTCTGAATAACTGTTCTTCCCCTTTTCTTGATTTGGTTCCTTTCTGCAAATTGCCCCATGCCCAGTTTGCTGGTAGCAGTGGCTCTGGCACCAGTCCTGCACGAGGCCTCCATTTGCTGCTGCGCTCCCCTTCACAGTGTTCTCTGTCTTATCCTCCGGTGAGCACCGGCATCCATCTTAAATAGCTCTCATCTGCTCTGCTCTTCCCTTTTCCGTCCTTGTTTTCTTTTATTTATAAATGAGACTTGGCTTGCATTTTCAGGTAATCATTAATATAAATGAAAAAAAACAACTGACATTAAATAAATACTTTGTCTGCATTCAGGTTTGTTTTTGGACATTACATTAGTTGAAGTATTAAAAAGTAACTTTTCAAATAGGGCTGGGCAATTAAACCATATAATTTATTGAAGTTTTTGTTTTCAAATATAGATTTTTTGAAAATTAGGATTTTCCTTTTCTTTTTTTCTTTTTTTACTAATCCACTCCTTGAACTTCAATAGCTCAGAGTGACATTAGTGTCCTTTAAATTAAGGTCACCTCCCAAAGAGGATGATTGGGATAAAAAAAAGCTGGTTTTTGGAAGCAATATGTTGTTTGTCATTTTTATTACAAAACTTAGGTGAGGAAGAAAAATTGCTTAACCTGATTCGGTTGGAAAAAATCATAAGCAATATCCAAGCAGGTTATTGCTATATACTGTCATTGATTGAGGACGGTTTACTAGTTTGTTTGTTTTTTTTCTAATAAGAATGCAGTAGAGAAAGTAGGCTATAATACAGAGTAACATGCAGCTAATCAGCACAAACATCTGATGTCTCCACGCTTGACGGCTGATGTCAAACACGGGGGTGGAGGTTCATGATTCTGCCATCTGTTTGAAGATGGAAGATCGGAGTTTGTCATCGGCATGAATGACAGACAAAAAAAAACTGCTGCAGTTTTCTTACGAAGGCTGGATCAAATAAAGGGAAACTTGAAGTTAATTGTAATCTAAAATGGTTTTTTCTAACAGGTCTTGAATGAGTGTCCTTAGTTTTCCAACAACCTTTAAAAAGGGATCAGAGGAAGATTTCTTAGTCTGTTTTGTAAAAAAAAAACAAAAACTTTCTTTTAATTATTTCACGTCTGTTGAATATGTTTTCAGAATGGCAGCCCTTCATCCATTGGCTCCACCCACACCGACTCCTCTTCTTGCGGCTCCTTTAGGACAGCCCCTGCAGCTTCCTGCTCACATAAAGCAGTCCAGGTAACTTTTTCTATTTACTATGCCACTAAAAGAGTCATTGTTTACTTCTTAAGTTTCTAGTAATATACTTCTAGGAATTTACAATATATGTTCCTTGAATTCTTTTTACCCTGACTGTATGTGTAAAAAATGCATAATATGCAGGAACTAAAGTCAAACTTTATGTCTGATGCAATCACTGCTGATAATACGACACATTTAAAATAAAAACACCAGCATGTGTCTTCAGATCGCTTTCTTTTCTCTATCATTTTATATGTATAAGCTTAAGTTTGACTGTCTTCTTATGTCTCTCTGTACTTGCTTTGCAGTCAGATCTGACACTGCTAAAACTGAAAGCAATAGAGAAGGTCAAGAACACAGACCTGGAGAGGACAGAAGGGAGGATAGACGACCTTGTGAGGGTACGTTCATTAAATACGCCTAAAGATCGTATCAGGTTTGAAGAAGAATTCAAGTTGCGTCCATTTGTAAATGTCTACATTGGGCAGCTTCTGATCAGTTCCAGTTTACTCCAACATATCTCCTCATTTACTGGATGTATTTGTATCTGTTAATGAGAATATGATTTATAGAGTCACTGTGGTGTGCTGTGTGTCTCGGCAGTCTAACTGTGACTTGAGGCGGCAGGTGGATGAGCAGCAGAAGATGCTGGAGCGTTACAAGGAGCGACTGAACAAATGTGTGAAGATAAGCCATCAGCTATTGATTGAGCAGGTTAGCTCAAAATCATTTTTCTAATATTCAAATCTTATTTTTACATTTTTCAAAAAATCCTTTTATTTGACAGCCTTTTCTTCGGCTTTGTAACACGGTAATCAGTAAGAGAGCATTACCATTTTCTGTTCTTGCACCTTAAACTTGACTTTCTTCAGTCCAAGAGGGAGAAGATGGCTTGCAGGGACAAAAGCATGCAGGATCGTCTGCGTTTGGGTCACTTCACCACCGTGCGCCATGGAGCATCCTTCACAGAGCAATGGACTGATGGATACGCCTTCCAGAAACTTGTCAAGTCAGTCAATGGGTACATAGAATGTGGTTTATCTTGAGGGGGAAATGTTCTCATTTTTTCTTTTTTTTTTCTTTTCTGTTTTAGGCAGCAGGAACAAATCAACTCACAGCGGGAGGACATTGAAAGGCAGAGGAAGCTGCTGGGAAAGAGGAAACCTCCAATGGTCCAGATGCCTCCACCCAACATGGAACAGAACAAGCGAAAGAGCAGAAACAATGGGCAGGAGAATGAGACGTAAGCACAAAAATGGCAGCTGGTATTCTAAATGAGGTCGATACAGAGCACGCTGCTATGTGCTAAACAAGGTTAATATTAGCGTTAACTCAATCTAACGAAAAAAGGAAAATAAAAAATTTAACTGAAATTAAACAAAAAACTAAACCTTGCAAATGTGCTCAGTTTTCATTTGTGTCTTTGACATAATTCATTTATACGAGTTCTGGTTTTCAAATTGCAGTTTTAGCTTTTTTTCTCTGTGCCTTATTAAACAAGCAGATTGCAGGTACTGTTCCTGCAGCGGTCTGTCCTTAGCTGAGGTTTTATTTCTATTACTTTTTTCTTTAACCTTGCCCCTGATATGTATGTTGTGTTATATGAAATACTTTAAATATAACTAAAACCTTTAAAAAAAAAAATAAACAAACTAAGCAAAAATAAACTAGCTAACAAAGGAATTGAAAATCAAAAGTCAACTTTAGAAACTATATCAACGTTGGTGCCCATAAGGTTAAAACTGAATCCTGATTCCTGAAAAGTGTGGCTTAAATTTGTATAAAGGCTTCCCTGGACCTAATAACTTTTAATACAACATTTTGCTCCAATTATTTAACCAAGTCTTCAGAGGTACGGATTAGCTTACTTTGCACATTTGAAATCTCCAAACTCCCAAGTTTGACTCATCTTTGTAAAAAGCTTCGTAGTGGGAAATGTGGTATTGCATTTCTTTCTTAGGAATTACGGATATGGACTAAAACTTTTATCTCAGCATTTTGTACCTGAATTATTATATTTAAAGTATTTCATAAATATAATATAATTATATTATAAACATTACCATATTTTTCTCCTAATAAAGTAATTATAAAATCAAAGCTTTGTCCCAGATTTCCTCAGGCATCTTTTTTTTTTTAAACAATTGTAGGTAATAAAAAAAAAACAAAAACATCCTGGTCTACATTAAAGTGAAATTATAATGCATTGTTTATCATCTTTATAAAAAAAAAAAAATAGGCCAATCTTAAATCTCTTTTGAAAATATCAAAATTTTTTTAAATCTCAATAAATTGCCCAGACCTGTTCTTTCCTTTTTACCTCCTAGTTATGTTTTGCTCTCTTTTTGTTTATCATGTTTATAACTGTGAAGAAATGTGAGGGTTGTGAATGACTTGTGTCACTTGAGTGGAGGTTTCTTTACAAATATTAGCACTGATAAAACTGTAAATGTTTTTTTTTTTGTGTATTCAACCAATTACCTTTTGTTTTTTTTTGCTTGGTTTTTTTTTTTTTTTTATCATACCGATCTGAGCTTTTCCCACACCGTCTCTTCCAGGTTGTCGCTGGCTGCATACCGGGAACAAGAGGAGATTTTTAAACTTCGAATAGGTCGTTTAAAAAAGGTACGGTCTTCACGGCATTAGTGGCTTTCTTCCAGTTTGTCTCAGAGTTTCATCTCTGAATGAGAACGAGAGGTCACTCTGGTTCTTTGCAGGAAGAAGCGGAGATCCAGACGGAGCTGGAACAGCTGGAGAGGGTTAGAAATTTGCACATTAGAGAACTCAAGAGAATCCACAATGAGGACAACTCTCAGTATGTATTGTCCCAGTTTGACATTATTTTCAAGATTATGTTATTTTAAAAAAGCAATATCTTAAAACATCAGTTCACTCAAATCCTGTTTTTATTTCTTTCTGGTAGATTTAGAGACCACCCGACGCTGAATGAGCGATACCTGCTTTTGCGTCTACTAGGAAGAGGAGGCTTCAGTGAAGTTTTTAAAGTAAGCAGGAGATCTTTCTGATTATCATTTCTTTTGGGATTCTCCAACCACATAAATGAGAACTTTAGATCTGTGTAATATTTGGCTAATATTCTTTATTTGTAACATTATAGCTGTTGTGGAATAATTTACTCCTCTAAGACAATAAGTAAGGTTTTTCTTTTACAGGCTTTTGATTTAACAGAACAGAGATATGTAGCCATCAAAATCCATCAGCTCAACAAGAACTGGAGAGAGGAGAAGAAACAAAACTACCACAGGTGATTTAAAAACCATAAAATACATTCTTGGTGATCTCCACTCTCTGCAAACCTTTGACCTATAATTACTTTTAACAATTTGCAGACACGCCTGTAGAGAATACAGGATCCACAAAGAACTCGACCATCCTAGAATAGTCAAACTCTATGACTATTTCTCAATCGACAGAGACTCGTAAGTGCCGAGTAACTGGGACGGAAAATCACCACTACTGTTTGGTCTGATACCTCAGCTTGTGCAATGATGTAATGGGAATAGTGCATAGGGGCTGTGTTAAATATGAATGCAAAACTTTTATTTTGAAAGAGGAGCACTTTAAATCAGAAAGGGATTCCCTCAGATTAGTGTATTGGGGTTGAGAAATTTGATCAAGAGCTCTTACTGGTAGTTTTGTTCTGAGATAATGGGGAGAATTTGCTTGTGTTCTGCAGGTTCTGCACAGTGCTGGAGTACTGTGGAGGGAACGATCTGGATTTCTACTTAAAGCAGAATAAATCGATGACCGAGAAGGAGGGACGCGCCATCATCATGCAGTTGGTCAACGCCCTCAAGTATCTCAACCAGATTCGGCCTCCCATCATCCACTACGACCTCAAGCCTGGTACTTCATGGTGTTTTCTTTAAGTTTTGTGTTTAATGCTGCTCAGACGACAAACACTTGGTTGTTTTAAACTCTCTCAGGGAACATTCTGTTGGTTAACGGCACGGCCTGCGGTGAGATAAAGATCACAGACTTCGGTTTGTCTAAGATTGTGGATGATGAGAGTTCTGCAGATGGCATGGAGCTGACTTCACAAGGAGCAGGAACCTACTGGTAAATACATTTACAGAAACGTAAAACGTTTTTAGCAGAGGAATCTTTATCGTATCTCTGTCTGAAATTGAATCTTGCAGGTATTTACCACCTGAGTGCTTTATTGTGGGGAAAGATCCCCCGAAGATATCCAATAAGGTGGATGTTTGGTCAGTAGGAGTCATCTTCTACCAGATCTTATATGGGCGCAAGGTACATATCTGCATCATGTGACACAGATTATTAGGTCTGCTTTTATTTGGCTGATTTTTTATTTTTTGGCTTCCTTTCTCCATCTTAAGCCGTTTGGTCACAACCAGTCCCAGCAGGATATCCTTCAAGAAAATACCATACTTAAAGCTACAGAAGTGCAATTTCCCCCCAAACCGGTTGTCACTACAGAAGCAAAGGTATGTTTGGTTTTAATCCCTTCGCTCATTTTCCTCCTATAGTAGATATGCTCTGTGTCCATTCTAAAGTTTGAAGCCTTAGAAAATCTATGTAAGCATGAATGCAACAGTTAAACACAAAGTGAGATAATTATTGCAGCTACAACAGAAACATCAACTTGAAATGTAAACTTGGTGGGCTTTTCCACAGATTAGTGGAATAAGAAGAGACTCATGAGTGTTTTATTTTGTTGTTTAAAATACAGAAAAACTATAGAATATAAACCATTTCCCAGCTTTACATGGATGATGGAGAAATCGAAGTATTCCTTTGATTATCATCCATTTGTTATTTTATTTTTTTTTGCTGTTTCAATTTAAAGCCGAGACATCGGTCATGAATTCATAGTGATCATTTGAGAACGCGTTCAGTCTTTCCATGTCTTTGCCACAGCCTCATGTTTTTGTTACTTTTTGTATTATAAGCTGGGCCCAAGCAAAGCTATCTGCCATAATAAGGGCTGGGCAGTTAATTGCATTTGCAATAATTACAAATTAATAAAATGCATTTTGGTTGCATTACAATTAAGTAATGATTAAGACACTAAGTGGAGTTAATATGCTTAAATATGTTTAAAGTAGGTTTGTAGAAAGGAAAAGATAAATCCACTTATGCAAAAATAAGTATGTACTTTTTGTTGGTGGGAAGGGAAAGTCAAAATAAAATCGTAATATTGGTAGAGAATAATTGCTATTTTTTTTTTTGGCAAAATTTTTCAGCTCCAGCCTTAATTTAACTGTGAACTTCTGTCTCACTATATAGAATAATCGTTTTTAGCCTGTCCAGCCAGACTGAATCACATGGAGCCTAAATCAGTCTGGTAAACTGCCGACCAGATGTGGTCTGACCAATCACACCGCAGAAGGCTGGACTTTACAATGCGTGCCTCTTGGCGTTAGAATTACCCATAATGCAGCAGTGCTTTTTTGCTAGCATAACAGAAAGCTGGTGACCGCAACGGAGCAATGTTGTTATGAAAATTAGGAACGTACTTTAGTGCAAACTTTATATCCTGATTGTTTTGTTTTTTTTGGCAAAGCCAGCAGAAATTTTACTTTGAAGTTTCTTTCGACAGCTTGAAATGTTTCACGGACCACAAAGTTAGAAAAATGGAGCGCGTCACTTGGAGTTTTTGCGTCACATCCGTAGTTATGATGGTTCTGACCCTGTTAGTCCCACCTTTGAAACTGAGCTGTACCAATGCTTTGCTAGACTGATAGGTTATGTATACGTTGTATATACATGGTATACATCAGTCTGGCTGGTCAGGCTAAAAAAATTACTTTTAAAAAGGTAAAAAGAGGAATTGTGATATTTTTCTCCCATTTGGTTCCTTTTAGGCTTTCATTCGCCGTTGCCTGGCTTACCACAAGGAGGACCGCGTGGACGTGCTGCAGTTGGCCAGTGACCCCTTCCTAATGCCCAATATTCGTAAAGCCCTGGGTAGTAACACAGCATTGGCGCTGCCCAGTCCTTCCACCTCCAGCTGCTACAGCAGCAGTGCCTCCAACTCAAGTTAGCATGAAGAATGTTGTGGAAAGCTTTGAGGGACAAAGACAGCAACGTGGAGACATTACTAAAGTGTGTGCAGAGCACAGGAAAAAGGGGGAGTAAAGTACAAATGGAGAACGATCCAATGGTTTAAAATGTGCCCATCACTTTTCTCCAGCTGGTCCACATTGCAGGGCCAAGCATCCAGCTATGGGCTCATCAGAACCCAAAGATTTGCAGATATGCATGCACTAACATAGACCTTGGCTTATTCAAAGGGACTTTTTTCTTCATGCTAAATTAAAGAGCATTTGGAAACTTTTGCACAACTGACTCGCTTTGAAGTATGACATGGTCATACTCAGGATGGTTTACAAAGGTTAATTTATAATGTTTCATCCCATACTGCTTGAAATCTAATAAACTGTCAATCATATCCCTAATAGTCGGTTTCAAACACAAACCTATAGGTTGGAAGAACTCCTGCGAGTGTTCAGGAGCAGCTGATGACTGAGAATTAAACGCAGACTTGAAATCACTGAAGATGAATTCATGACTTGAAATGTAAGAGAGCTGATTATGGAGAGGATGATTAGTTTTGATCTATTTTGTGTAACTGTACTTGAAGTCAGCTTTTTATTTTAAGGAAGTACATATTTTTCCATTAGATTTCCCCCTCCTAATGTTGTGGCTAACCTTAAAGGGGGGGGCAGGTTGACTGGGTGTGTGTTGTGAGTTGCAACTCATTGAAAATAATTAATAAGATCATTAAAAAGTATTTGTTATCATGTAGTCATGGTGTCTTGTTTTGTATAGGAAGGTGGTGTCTGAGCGCAAAGATCAAGTCCTAATGGCGTACCGGCAATTAACATTTTACAAATCTGTTTTTTGTGATATACCACTTACCATCTAAAAAAAAAACTGCACATTCAATATTTTTGTAAAAGAAAGTAATTTTTAAGGAAGGGAAGAGTAAATCGCAGATTCAAAAAAGTGTTGTTTTTTTTAAAGAAAGTTGTAGCTTCCACCCTTTTTGATAGCGATTTTTATTTCCTTGTGTTTTCTTAAGAATTTTGTCAATATTTCTTTGAAAATGCGTGATATATTTAACCAAATGTGCTTAAATTCTATTAATTGCAGATTTGCTGCATGTTGCTTTATATTTATAAATCTATTTACCAAAAAAAAAAAATTCTGAATCAAAATGAAAAAAATCTTTGTGGTATCCAACATTATAGGGAGAATGTGCTCATTAAGAGGCTTCATCCGCATGAAACATCTGACCTGAGGAACTCAGAATCGTAGAAACTTTAAATAAGTGACACCAAAATGTAAGATTCTTTTATGGGGAAAAATTACACAAAAAATTAAGAAATACTTTGTATATATCCAGGTTAATCTTCTAAAGCCAGTTTTGCAAAGAAGCAATCAGCTGCAAAAGAGGGCGTGGCTTAATCCCCAAATATTAAGCTACACCACTTGGTCTATGATCTATCTAAAGGTTTATTCTAATTTTTACAGCTTTCATCAGTTTAAGAAATCTAAAACTTAAAGGTGTAGTGGAGGATTTTAGCAAATTTTTTAAAAGACCAGCCCTCTCCACTTTAAAGAAAAAGCACCCTGTACCTGCTCCTGAGAGGAAACCCCTATTAAACGTGTAGGAGAGCATGCACAAGCCCATTTTTCTTCGTGCATGCTCTATTTAAAAGTTGCTATCTGCATCGCACATACAAGCTTACTTTCCAAAAGAAGATTTGCAAAGTTTCTGCTATGTCAGACTCACCACCGGTAAGTGAAAATGGAGGAAGAGAACGTAGGGTGGCCTTACGTAAACATGTCACCAGAATGATCGACAATTAGGAGGACCCATGGACGTAATCCCCTCCACTTTTTCAAACATCCAGCTTGGTCCCCTCCAGGTTTTACCGTCCAAAAACTATGTTACACTACAGTACACAGACATACGCCAGCACCTGGATCAAGCTCAAACTGAAGACGGCTTCCCTGAGTTCAGACCCCCATAAGCTCCTAATTGGCCCACCGTCTTTTCTTGTGTGAATGGCCGTCACTCCTGAGAAGCTGACTTTTCAAACATCTGATGCGCGACTGAATCAGGTCTGATTGGAAAGTCAAACACACCAACTTCTGAAATTAAAATTTCGTCAATGGGAGGACCAGTTACTTTGATGATCCACCCAGAAAAAGAAAATCCTCCACAATACCTTTAAGCATTTTGTGAATCATGATGCTTTGGTTCAACAGCAGAAGAAGATTCAGAAAGTTCCTGAAATTCTTAACCATCAACAAAATCTACATTCGGCAGATGTGGGTTTGTCTGGTAAAATTTAAACCATAAAAACTAGATTTATTCCTTTTTTTTTAAACCCTTGCATTTAATCTAATTAGTAGTTTAAAATGTGTTTGATCTGAAACGTGACAAAAGCTAAAGTAGAAGGGGAAAAATGTTTTCCATTAAACACATTCAGACCAACTATCTCCAATAACATTTTATAGGAAATAGCTTTTTTCTTCCAGTGTAAACATTTTATTAACAGACTTCTCTCTTTACATCTTTTAGAAATGTTAGGCTGCAGAGTGATAAACATACAGGCGTATGAGCACCATTGATGGTGCTAGCTGAATATGTATTTAGGCTGAATGTAACCACTACAGCAACAGTTTTGGTTGAAATGACAGGATTCAAACTGCCTCCCATTGTGAACAAAAACGGTCATGAACTGCTTTTTCTCTTCAGCTTGCTCCTCAGCAGTCTCATGAAGTGTAACTCTCCTTCTAATGCAAGATGAAAAGTATTTACTAGCAGAGCAAAAAGCGATCATAAGGGGCTTTTGTAAAGGCATGTAAATCTGGAATTATTCCAAAGTGGACCAACAGTTTGATCCTGGGAATTCTCAGACTTCAATTTCAGCCAGAAATCCACATACATGAACCGTTCCACCCATTGCTTAGGGACCGTGCAGAGCCAATATGACTTATTGGAGTCCAAAGTGTTTATCTGTTGTAGAACTGTGATGTGACCCATGCCAGCCCCCACTTCAGGTTGGTGAGCATAAACTTGAGCGCCTTGGTCCACTGTTCCTCAGAGTTGAATTGGGTTTTGATGGAGTAGGAACCTCCGCTGCCACCTGTATCCTCAATCTTCCCCTTCTCCACATCCATCCTGACAAAAACAAAGGGGTAAAACATAATTTTACATTTGTATTCACAAATACAAAGAAACTCAATGATGTTTAGGCTTAGAGAAACATTAAGGATCTAGATTTCCAAAAAACAAGTACAAGTTTTCCTAAAACGAAAAGATTTGTGACTAAATATTCTTGAAATTGATTTTATATTTATAGAATGATACCAGGAGGATCAATTAAAGAACAGACTAATTAGATGATCTCTTGTCCAACTTAGACTAAGCCGTTTCTGATATATAAAGTTTTCCAATGTTTATAAAGATAAAAAAAAAAACTTGTTTAAACATTTTTGTTAGCATCTTTATTCCTGATCCCATTTAGGTTTGGATGCCGCTAGCATCGTGTCATTAAACATGCAAATCAATCTGAAAATCACAATAAGTTTCATAAATATTTGGATATTTATCAAGTAGAAAAAAAGGGTTAATTCTGACAATTTAAACTTAATTTTCCCCAAACCCAGTCTTCAACTTTTTGTAATTGTTAGATTTTTTTTTTTTTATCATTTTCTGAGCATCCTTTGTTAGCATTATGAAAACGAAAGTTAAAAAACAAAACACAAAAAAACTTTATTTGAAGGCTTCAAAAATAAAGAGACAATCTCACTGGAAAATATCTTTTTTGACCTGCGAAGCTTAAATGTATACAACTTGGAATACAACAACATTTTGGAGCTAGACAATTCAGATTTAGCCACCCTGGAAGCTGTCCTGTGGATGCACTTAAGATTTCAATCTTAAAAAAAAAAAGTATACGACAACATAAAACATCAGGCATTCACGGATGTATTATTAATAATCTCTAACAACAAAAATAAAACATTCTCTCTGTATCTGACCTGTATGGGAGGCAGAAGCCAGTGTCTCCCTTTTCCACCTCTTCTTTGAATTGCTGGACGCAATCCAGGAAAGCCACCATGGCGTGATCAAACTTATTGTCCCAGAAAAACCTCAGACCACCTGAGCAGTATAACGGGAGTTCCTAGGAAAAAAATAAAATAAATAAATATGGGGGAAACCTGCAACCGACTAATCCATTCAGATTATTAAGAGACAACGTTGGTAGGAAAATAGCTTCGTGCTTTACCTTTGATTTGTCTGTCAGTGACTCCAAGTATGAATGGTTTCCATAAGGGACCAGACGATATCTGGAAATATAAGAGAAAAGAATCAATTTTTCACTAATTGTGTAAAAATGTACACACGTTTTTTTTCTATATTTGACCAAAATGTGGGGTTAATATTAAATAAAGAGATTAAGCTCTAACCTCTGAAATCTCAGCCCCATTTTGTTGGCCAGAGCGTGCAGTAGCAGCACCGTCTGCCCCCACGCCGCATTGATCTCATTCCACTCCACGGGAACGCTGGGAAGCCGACCCAGGCGGAAGTTGTTGATGGTACCAAACTGGCCGCTGTGCCTGAGTAGATCAAGGGTCGGCCTTTATTTTAAGACTCCAATTTCTGGGTTTTTGAAACACTTTCTGAGGAAAAACTAAACATACCAGATATGAAACGTTGCATTGAAAACATTTGTTTTCTTAAGTCGATCCAGCTGAATCTGACAGTAACGCATCTGGTTGTCGACGCTCTTCAGCTCATCGTCCAGCTCAAGCTGCTGCCGCTTAAACTCACTATACTCTTTTTGGTACCTTTTTGGTAAGAGCAGACAGGGCTGTTAGAAGCTGATTCCTCTGCAGAACAAGCCACTAAAACCTGTACTGATAAGAATAAATAAATAAAAACAGCTGGTTCCACTTACTGGAGCTCCTCTGTGTCCAGCTGCTGAGACTGAATCCTGCTCTGGGCCAGTTCCTTGGCCACAGCAGCCCTCTGCTCCTCCACAGCCTCCAGCTCCTGGACCAGAGTTTCCTCTTCGTTTTTCAGCTGCTGCAGTTCTGCCTGCAGAGTCTCCTCTTCCTCCACCTGTAGGTTGGAGAGAAGCTCCAGACACTGCCTGGAAACATAACCATCAGCATTTTAGCAACAGGACAAACCCTCCTTCACAAATATACCCTGTTAGGTTAAATCAGCTCACTTGTAGTTCTGGCACTCGTTCTCTGTGATGTTGAGTTGGGTGTCCAGGTGATCCAGCAGAGTGTCGGTGCACTCCTCACAAAGAGGGTGATCCACATCCGTTTGGCCGGACATGATGTCAAAGAGGTCACTGGTTACCTTAGCGGGAAGTAAGCAAAATATTGCCATGACTTTCTCAGAAAAAAAAAAAAAAAAAAACTTGTTTTTGTTACAGGGAAATTGACCATCTAAAACTATCACCTTTAACCTTCGACTAAGGTTTTCCATGGTTCCGCCATCCGAAGCGTCCCCAATCAGCGTGAAACTGTTGGCGCTCTCCGTTGACATCATCCTGCAATGGAAAGATTTGGCGGCTTTGTCATCTTTCGGGACCGGTTTCATTACATTCAGGCTGCAACTGATTTAAAAACAACTCACCGTGCAGGAGGGATGTACTTTCTGGACACTCCATCTTGCTTGTTTTCCACAAACGTCTCCTTTGAGAAAACAACTCCGAATTAAAACAATCATGCCGGAAAAGCTTAATTACAACTTATATTTTAAATGTTCAGTTTCATTTAATATCAATAAGTAGTGATGGGTCCAGCAACACTGATGCATCGGTGCATACAGTACCTCGAGCCCGTAGAGCAGAACACTATTGTGCATATGTGTCGTTTCAAGAAAGCCATGTGACCGATACAGGAGTTGTTTCTAACTGACTGACACACTAAACTGTGTTAAAAAACATATCTGACAACCGGATAAATCTGTTTATCATTGAAATTATCAAAAAAATTTGTAGCAGCCTAAAAGGAATAGGACCATCGTGTCTTACCTTTCCTCCCATTTATCACTCAACTTATCTGAATTAAAGTTAATTTCAAATTTACTCTTAGTTTATTTACTGTTTTTACTGTACTTATTGTTTTAAAAATATGATTTAAAAACCTAGTCCCCAAGCATCCTCATTCACATTTTCCCCTAGATTTTCACGTTATATGTTTACATTATATATTGGCTGCATCAAAAATATTAAAGATATTTTCAATTTAAACATAAATGTGAAATAATGCATTATAACCCACAGTAACTTAAATTCTATCATTTTACTAGGTCATCAAATCAATTCAGTTTAGTCTGTCAAATAAGCTGCCTGTAGTGTCTTTAAATGTCCAGCAGGTGTCAGTATTCTGAGACGGTATCAATAACATAGTTTGGCAATTTGTAGAAACGCTTCAAGACGCCTCATTAACCAATCACTACTGACTTTACACCCAATTAGCAAGCAATTAAAGCATAACCTTGTCTTTTTTATCTATTTGTATTAGTAAACTAGGAATCCCGCAGCTCAGTATTATATGATAATAACCTATTCTTGCAAAAATGCATTTAAATTTAAGTTATAAATCACCAGCAACATACATGGCAAACCAAAGTGCTTAACAGGAAATCAAAGAACAAAAATATAGAAAATATCTGAGATGAAATCCTGCATCTGGAAACCAACCTCTGGTGCTGCCTCCCCTCCACTGCTGTCAGTCTGTTTGCTGCTGGGAGTCACAGTAACCAGCGGGGCTGAGGAAACAGATCTCCTACAGTTACTCCATCATACAGGTGATATATTACCTCAGAATAACAAAAAACAAAACTGGGACCTACCGATGAGCTCCTGGATTGTGACTCGGTCGAGCACATTAAAGGAGGTGTCCAGTTTGAGCGGCTGGCTACACCGCTGACACACGAAGCTCACCTGCATGGTGGTGCTGGCAGACTTAGAGCCCTCCATTCCTCACCTGACATAGGAAAACACGAGAAAACAACAAATTAAAAACCGTTGACGCCATACTCTCTGGACAAAAACCACAAAAGCAGAAGAGATGACTCGATGGGCTAGCCTTCCAGTTAGCTTTGGCTCAACTTAACAGGGTGTAAGAGCAGGAGACGTACTTACTGTTAACTGTAAAAAAAATAAATAAACCAAAACACTACTCCTTCAGAATGTCCATTATTTTTTGTTTTAAAAAATGACTACTGTCTCAAAAAACTACGTCAACCACTTCCTTGTTGTTGTTTATGGCGAATGAGACCTCTTCCTCTACGGTTACCAGTTGGTAAGATTATAAAAAGTGCTGCCCTCTACCGGTGCTATAGTGGTATTATTCAAGTAAAAGTTTCAACACACAATTTTTGAGGCAAGGTTGTTTATGTTTGGATTATTCCCTGAAAAACATATTTACAAAAAAAATAAAAATTAACGAGTGTTTATAAACTTAAGTTTGCTTAATGGGAAGAGATGTATATCTTTGTTTTGGAAAAAGACTCACAGACCGAGCATAAACCAATGGCTGCAGCAGATGTTACCTGTACTCCCTCTGGAAAAAAAAAATGTATATATTAAAGGACAAACAGGACCTGTTTGAATCTATTTGGAACTCCTTCATTAATTATGTTAAGACTCTGAATATATCAACAAAAAGGTGCAAGTGATTAAAGAACAAGTGAACTGCAGTTCCCAAAGACAATTTATTGAAGGACATATACTGTCAAATTTAATTCTCAATATAAGAGGCTAAGAATGAAGTGTGATCAGTCCCATTTGAATAAATGTTGTGTGAGGCAATTTGTTGTCTGTATTTTATTTTGACTTGAACAGTAACGTAACTATTGCTGTGATTATATTCTGTATGTTGTTCAATATGTTTGTTTAAATTGCTAAAATTTGAATAAATATATTTTGGGGAGAAAAAAAGTTTAAACACTTTTTAAGATTGTTTTTAATAGAATACCATTCTAGAAGAGTCTACTTAATGAATTATTGGTTAATAAACCTTTAAAGAAGTAATTCTTATATCAAGTACATTTTAAAACTCATTTTAGAACGATTTTTCCACATTTCTTTCACAAATAAAGAAGCAGTATATTCTTAAAACAAGAGCATGATAAATACTATCTCTGTCAGTGTATTTCACTTGGACTTTATTTTGAGTTGTCTTGGCATAAGCTCTAGTTAAACTAGTTTATATCAGCAAAACTGTCTGACATTGCATTATTGCCTCCATAGTCCCCACACATCCTCACGATCTTCTACAGAAGCACCATAGAGAGCGTTCTGACCAGCTGTCTCACTGTGGTGTGGAAGGCTGCAGAGCCTCAGACTGGAAGAAAGTAGTGAGAACAGCAGAGAAGATCATCAGGGCCCCTCTTCCCTCCATTAAAGACATTTCATCCCAGCGCTGCCCTCTACAAAGAGGCTTCGCAGCATTCAGTGCAGGTCCAGCAGATTGTGAAACTGCTTTTTCCCCAACCGCCATCAGACTAATGAACTGTTGAAAAAACTCTATATCATGTCACAGACTCTGTGTAACACTGATAACACTAAATTTAAAATACTGCATCTTTGCACCATATGTATTTGCCCTTAAAGGCTCCTAACTTCCATATTAATGCCTTTTTGCACCATGTCTCTCCTACACTGTTTACTTTTGATCTCTGCTGCACTTTGTGGAATGGAAATGTTCATTTCACTGCTAAGCTGCTGCTTGTTTACTGTCTGAAAGCTGTACAAAATGAAATGTTCTTCTCTGTACACTCTGTGCATGCAAGTAAGTCTAATCCTGAATGTATAACTTTAAATCTGAGCTATATAATGAATCACTGATCTTGATATACTTTTGATACATTTTACGGATGTGTGTGATGTACTTACACGGTGAAGTGGAGTAGAGAATACATTTTTTTTTTTTTTTTTACTGATATAGTCTGATTTTCAGCTCCATTCACCCTCTGTCAATAAAATCAAAGCAAAAATACCTACTTTATCATTTCAATAATTAATACTAATTAATTAATACTAGTTTAATTCCTGCTGTTCTGTCAAGGCATCTGAGATTTATTAAATTATATTTCTGTAAACAAACAACATCATAAAGGCCAGTGACAGACCTGGTCACAGACAAATAACATTGTGGAATTTAGGCTGTTATAAAAACAAAATCTTTGGATTTTGAACATCTCACAAGGCTTCAGTTCACTAACTGAAAATGGAAAAAGTATTACATGAAAATAAACCCCAAAAAAACTGACAAGTTAAAGGCATTGAGAGTATTAAACAGAGAGACAAGAAGGTATCTGGAGAAGCTGCTGAGCAAGGATTTTATTCGGTTTTCCAGTGTATTTGTACTTTGGTCATGCTTTGAAAACCTTTGTTCACTTGAATGTAATTTGATATCCAAAATAGTTTTTAAAAAGTACTTTAAATGTGTATCAAAATTTACAACAAAAACATATTTTGATACAGCAGAACTTTGCCTTTCACTGTAGGTATGTTTGGAGTTCCATTTAAATTCTGAAAGAGAAGTGAAAGAACCTGGTTGAAGACCTGAGTGAATTCTTTTCAGATTGTATAATTAAATTGGAGGTTTCTGCTGCTGCATTATATTTTAGACTTAGACAGGTTTATTTGTCCTTTTTTTCACACAAGTGTAACAAAAAAACTGGACAAATTAATCTTTTTAAAAGTGCAGCCTTGAAAAATAGTAGAAAAAAAATATATTAATTTTTTTTTTATCGCTAAACTTTGTGGAAGTATTTTTCCTCAAAAAATATTTTATGTTGAATAGTTGTTTTTTTTTTTTTTTTTTTTACTGCTAATTAAATATGTTTGCTGCAATTTGCAAATCAAAATAGTATTTTTTTTCTATCCCATTTTTCCTCCTGTATGTGAAGGTAGTATATTGTTGATTTTAGCATCCGCTCCACCAGAGGGGGCGCTACTATAACACTAGAATAAATCTGTGGTCAAACACCGCAGAAGAAGAGGAGATTGCGGGAAAACTGAAGCAGAAGAGGTTGTTGTTGAGGTCTTCAAACTGTCAGAAAAGAAGGTAACTTTAATATAAAGTGACGCCATTTGTTTCTTCTCCTTATTACTAGTGACACTGATATGTTGTTATTGAGCGTTTGAGGTAATGTCGTTGTGTTAGAAAAATGCTAACTGTGTAGCTCAAACCTTTCGTGTTAGCAGATTCGGTAATTTTTATATGGAAAACTTTAGGTTTCTGGTAATTAATTTGTGATGTTATGATGCTTTGGTAACACTGGGGGTTCGCTGCATGAAATATGAACAAAACTAAAATGTTTTTTTTTTTAGCTTTGACTTCAGATCAACTGTTTTTTTTCTCTACTCACAGAAAAAAAAAAAGTGGTTTAAAAAAATAATAAACCTATAACATCCTATCCAAGTACTTTAAATCAATGTGTTTAAAATGAGTGCAGACGTCACCCAATTTAAACATATATTTCATTCTTCCTTATAAATGCAAACACCAGGTTTTGTCTTCCTCCCTTCACCATTTTCTTTTTAAGCACATACGCTTTGGTGTGTTTAACTCAGATCTGTTATGATGGCCAGAATTATTAATCATTTTTCTTGGGATGTTTTATTTTCTGTAGTTTCTATAATATATTATATATGTTATGGAAACTACAACAATATATATATATTGTTAATATGTAATATATATTGTTGGAGAGACAGAGCAAGGTGTGCTGTTTGTGAAGAGGAGTGTTTGATCTCAATTCATGTGCAATTTTCTGATTGCATGCATTTTACTAGGCCTTTATTCTTTAGTTTGCTAAGACATCTTTGTGATTTATCCTAATGTGTTTAAAAATAAAAAAATAAAAACTCTTGAGATGAAAACTTCATTCCTGTAGTGCCGTTATAGACCCACTAGGGGTCGCGACCTCTCCTTTTCTGTTCCAGATAGTACCTCAGTTATGGAACCAGATGGTAGTGTTAGAGTAGTTAGTGGTTTAAATGTAGATTTGATAACAAACAAAGAAAAAAAAACATAGAACATCCAGATCTGGAGTCAGTCTCCACATAGTGTCCGATAAAGTGTGGGAAAAGTATTGAATTCAGTTGAAGCATTGTCTTAGACAAAAAAATGTGCAATAAAAAAAAAATGACAAAGAAAAATAGGCCTGTCTAAATTTACTTCTTGTTTAATAGTTTAAATGATGCATTGATCATCCACCAGCATTCAGCTTGTATAAGTCTGTGTTTTCAACATCCATCCATCCATCCATCCGGGAGTGTTGGCCTAGTGGGTTAGAGCAGTGCGCTTGTTCTCTCAGAAGGTTGCAAGTACTGGGTTTGATCCCCACAGCCTGACTCTGGGTTCCTGAGCAAGAACTCTAACCCCACACTGCTCCCCAGGCGCTGCACAATGGCAGACCACTGCTCCCCAAGGGGATGGGTTAAATACAGAAGTAAATTTCTCCAATGTGAGATCAATTCATTTCAATTATCATCCTTCTGTCGGTTTTTAATTTAAAGCCTTGCCTTGGTGCATGTATCTAAGAGTTCATGTATCTTGGTCTGTTGTTTATGATTAGATGGTAGCCTGGAGTGGTGGATGGTATCATTAACAATGTGCTCTGGTTGATTGTTAAGAAGAGCTGAGCTAAAAATCAAAGCTCCTCATTTATTGGTCTATATTTGTTTCAATGTTCAGAAAGAAAATTAGGTTTGGCTAATTTTAGCTTCCTTTGTTGGATTGATGAGCTTAGCCAATTTATTTCACAGATTCTTTTATCATCAATACATAAGTCCTATTTTAATAGTTCATTTCTGTTTAATTTAAGTAATATGTTAGATGCAGAGCTGTTTAGCAAAATAGGAAAAAATGACAACTTGTATTAGTTGTCCAATTTGCTGCCTTGGGTATTTCCTTTACATACACAATGGAAAATAATATGCTGTCAACCTGAGCAAAGTACACATGGGTTGTATAACTTTACTGCTTCTGTTACAGTTTGTTCATCGTTAAACCATTCAGCAGACAATAGGATTGTTTTAAAGGCATTGCCATAAAAATAGAGAAATGATCAGAGGCTGTTATCGGTGTAGCGTAAAAGAATAAAATAGACCTCTCATTTGATATCTTCCCTCGATACATCTCCTTTGTCCTGCAAACGGCTACATTTGTTATGGTTTAATGTGTTGCTTGCTTGTTTCTTTCCTTCATTGCAGCATTTTCCCTTGTGGCTCATATTTTGCAGCCGTTTAAA